ACTCATACTTCCTAGATCTGTCTGTCATGTGTGCCTAAAATGACACCATTGTAGCAATAAGTGTACCAATGCCCAGATCTGGGCTTTTAGATATCATTTTCAATGAAAGAATCAAAGCTTTGGGGGGGGCGGGGAGTTAGTCTCAGAACAAAGGCGGGGAAAAAATAGAAAACAATCTCGGGGTTAGTAGAACAGCAAGCCTGACACCGAGTTGACCCAGGAACCCACAAAAAGCTGGCTATGTGGCTTGCATTTGTAACCCCAGCACTGCTCAGATGGGAGGCAGGGTACAAAGAACTGCCAGGACACTTGCAAGCCAGTAACCTGGAGTATGCAAGGCAGAAACAGCAAGAAACACACTACTGTGGGGGTGGGGAGGTGGCTCAGTGGTTAAGAGAACTTGCTGCTCCTGCAAAGGACCTGAGTTCAGTTCCCAGAACCCACATGTGGCTTACAAGTGTCCATAACTCCAGTTCCAGGGGATGCAATGCCTTCTTCTGACCTCCATGGGGTAGACAAACAGGTGGTGCACATAAAATAAAATGAAATCTAAAAAAATTTAAGAAGAGAAAGAGATCCTGCCTCAGTAATGTAGGAGAGAAACAACTCCCAAAAGTTGTCCTACACACACACACACACACACACACACCACACACACACACGCACACGCACGCACGCACGCACGCACGCACGCACGCGAGCACACACACACATATAGCACCTACAAGAGATTCTGATAGCCAATGCTGAAAATTTCGAGAAAATTTCAAAAAAACAACACCGATAGAAACAATCCAGAGGATAAAATTAATTTCCACAAATCATACTGGTAGCAGGAAGGAAAGAAGGGAGAGAAGGAGGGAGAGAGGGAAGCAGGAAAGCAGGAAGGAAGAGGGGGAATGCTTTTTCCCCCCACAAAATTCAGTTAATAGAGACTCCTAGGAAATGCCAATAAATGTTTGGAAATGATGGGATCACTGTTATGCAAACGTCACACTATTGCAGGGAGGTTCTCCAATGGATGGAATGTTGAAGATACAAGTGTACATTAGCACACTCAGAATCATCAGTGACGCAGGGAAGACAGTAGCTTGACAATCATGGATAACTGCCTTCTTTCATGTTTCATAGCGTATTCATGCTCACCTAACTTTGAGCATCTTCACTCCTATTTCTTTTTGTTGCTTAGCAACCATCCCTCACACAGTTCAGGTCATTTCCACCTTTTTGCCCTTGTGAACAATATAACCAGGACCATTTGTAGACAGGCTCTTGTATGGACATCTATTTTCACCTTTCTCTACTTTCATACACTGGAGCTGAATTGCTAGATCATATGGTAACTCCACATTTAACCATCTGAGCACATGCTGGACTTCCCTCAAGTGGCTACAATTGCCACTTTACACCCAGCATGGGTGACTGAGTTTCCATTTCCCCATGTATGTTGTAGCTGTAACTCCTGGCCAACGGTGGTCACTGCCAGCCTTTTCTGTTACTATAGCAGGTTTACAGAAATATCTCTAACACATTTGTCATTCTCATTTTACCAAAACCTAATGGCACTGAATATCTTTTCATGTGTTCATCATTCTCTCTCTCTCTGTCTCTCTCTGACACACACACACACACACACACACACACACACACACACACACACACACCACAGACACAAAACACATACTTTCTCACACACACAAACACACAACACACATACACACACCACACACATACACATACCACAGTTGCTGTCTTCTTTCATTTCTTTTATTTATCACTTTGTACAAATAATTATGGCTAAACAATTTGGAAATAAACACATATTCCAACATTTTATCCCTAACTCTCCAAAATATATTTTGTAAGAGCAGAGGTTTCCTTTACATTAATTTAACATCATTGTAATACATGAGAAATTGAGTTGACACCAAACATAATGTCTGTCACAATCCATATTTGTATTTTACTAATTGTACCACTATAAATAAATACTTTGTATAAATAAAATAGTTAAACAGGGCTTAAGGAGACTAGACATTGGTAACACTTAGATAAAAGGAATAAGTTCAGGAGGCTGGTGAGGTGTCTCAGTGAGTAGAGGCACACGCTGCCAAGCCTGACTTTCTGAGTTTGATCTTCAGAGCCCACATGCTGG